TTTGTGTGCATGGTGAGATGTGACTAATGACTCACTATAAGCCTGCACAGGTTTTTTCGAGTCAGATTTTCAGTTCAACTGTAGAGAAAAGTTGCAAACACTGAGCAGATTTTTTTCCCACCGAATGGTTCAAGTAGTGAAAATTTTGGGCTTCGAGCTGTTCGACAACCTATAACTATATCTCAGACTCATCCATTTGTTCTTCTGCTTTGAGCAGTGACAATTGTCAAATGCAAATCACAGATATTTAAAGTCACTATCAAGCATAGCCTTTCAACCAACATAATATCCCAATGTATGTCTCTGCAATGCTGTTGTCTTCTTTCAGATTTGGGCTTTGATTGTTCTAATTAGAGGTTTCAACAAATGCAGTTTATTGATCTTAAAGTAAATTTTAAATAACTGATTCACTAAAAACGACATCCTCCACTTGTTAGAGTCTTCTAGTCCATCTCAAGTGTTACTGGCACAGACATGAACACAACTCGTCAGTTATTCAGCTGCTTTTTCCTTTCTTTACCAACTGTTGGTCCTAGTAATTGGCAAATTTTGCCACCACAATAATGCACCTGCTCACGCGGCCATCTCAGTGTGCCAGTTTTGGCAAAAAGCAGCATTTCCCTCTTGCCCTACCCATCTTATTCACCTGACCTTGCTCTGTGAGACTTCTTTTTCTGAGAATGAAGAGGGGCCTGAAGGAAAGCGATTTGACAACTTAGAAGAGGTGAAGAAAAAAGAAAGGAGGCGCTATCAGCCATCCAAACAGATGAGTTTGAAAAATATTTCCAAGAATGGAGTCGCAGATTTGACAAATGTATTAAGTGTAATGGAGAGTACTTTGAAGGTGATAAGGTTGTTTAAATACATAACTTTACAAAGTATCCCCTCATGTTCCAGTATGATCCACCCATGGCAAGTTCAATGGCACCATCAAGACTGAGAATGGGAAGCTTATCATCAATGGGAAGTCCATTCCCATCTTACAGGAGCAAGATCCCACCAAGATTAAGTAGGGTGAAACTGGTGCCATGTATGTTGTAGAGTAGTACACTGGTGTCTTCACCATCATAGAGAAGGCTGGTGGCCACTTGAAGAGTGGTACCAAAAGGGTGATCATCTCTCCCCCTTCTGCCAATGCCTCCATGTTTTTGATGAACATGAAGTACGATAAGTATAACAACTCCCTCAAGATTGTCAGCAATGCCTCCTGCGCCACTAATTACTTGGCACCCCTGGCCAAGGTCATCTATGACAACTTTGGCATGGTAGAGGGACCCATGACCACAGTCCATGCCATCACTGCCACCCAGAAGACTGCGGTTGGCTCCTCTGAGAAACTCTGGCACAATGGCTGCAGGGCTGACCAGAACATCCCTGCATCTATTGGCTCTGCCAAGGCTGTGTGTAAGAGTATCCTGAAGCTGAATGGGAAACTCACTGGCATGGCCTTCTGTTTCCACACTCTAATGTGTTTGGCATGGATCTCACCTACAAACTGAAGAAAACTGCTAAGTGCGATGACATTAAGAATGTGAAGCAGGTCAATGAAACTTACAACTTCCCTCTAGTTCCTAAATGCTTCCTCCCCCCACTACCATGATCCCAATTCTACCTTACAAATCCAGTTAGACCAGAGGATGCACACTGGTACAGATAGGAACTGGAAATACAGGGAATCCTGGACGGATGATCCCTTAAGGACCACTGGTGAGATTGGCGATACCTGAAGGGTGGAGGGAGGGTGAGGTGGAAAGGGGGAACCAATTACATGGATCTACATATAACCTTCTCCCTGGGGGATGGACAGCAGAAAAGTGGGTGAAGGGAGACGTCAGAGAGTGTAAGATATGACCAAAAAAAATTATAAATTATCAAGGGTTCATGAGGGAGGGGGTAATGGGGAGGGAGGGGGAAAATGAAGATCTGATTCCAGGGGCTTAAGTGGAGAGCAAATGTTTTGAGAATGATGAGGGCAACAAATGTACAAATGTGTGCTTTACACAATTGATGTATATATGGATTGTGATAAGAGTTGTATGAGCCCGCAGTAAAATGATTTTTTTTAAAAAAGAATGTGAAGCAGGCATCAGATGTCCTAAAGGGAATCCTGGGATACACTGAGGACCTGGTGACTTCAACAGTGACACTCACTCTTCCACCTTTGATGCTCGGACTGGCATTGCCCTTAACAACCACATTGTCAAACTCATTTCCAGGTATCAATGAAATTGGCTACAGAGTGTTCGACCATATAGTCCACATGGCCTCCGAGGGATAAGAGCACCCCACCCCTCCCCAGATCAGTAGTCCCAGCAACAGCATTAGAGGAAGAGAGAGGCCCTCAGCTGCTAAGGAGTCTTTGTCCAATTTGACCCCCCAACATACTGAGAATATCCCATCATCACGAGTCTCCATGCAGACCCCTTGAAGAAGGGGAGGCACTTACAGAGCCCAACCTTTCATGTACCATCAGTAAAGTACACTGTAACCAGCCCCCCAAAAAAATAGAAAGAAAGAAAAGGAAATACCGTGGTTAGGGTCAGCCGCATCTTAGTCCTCAAGGTAACCTCCTTTATTTCCAACATTTTAAAGAGGTCCTGTGCCGAGCATTTACTTAAGGCAATGTGTCATTTGATCCCTTGACTGTTTCTTTCATGAGCATGAATTGTGGATCCAAGCAAAACGAAATCTTTAACTTCAATCTTTTCTGTTTAACATGTAATCTAATGGTCCACCTGTGAGGATTTTTATTTTCTTTACATTAAGTTGTAATACATATTAAAGGTTGTGACCCTGATCTTCCTCAGCAAGTGTTTCAAGTCCTCCTCACTTTCAGCAAGCAAGGTTGTGTCAAATGCATATCAGAGGTTGCTTAATTAATCCTTCCTTCAATCCTGATACCATGTTCTTCACATAATCCAGCTTCTCTGATTATTTGCTCAGCATACAAATTAAATACGTGTGGTGAGAGAATACAGCCCTGACTCACTTTTCTTGATGTTAAACTCCCTCTCCTCTTAACCCTTAAAGCAAGGATGCTTAGTCTGCCTTGCAATGCTGAGACCAGTATCTATCACTTACCAAATGTTCAGGAAAGGTTTGTTTTATGAATTTCACAAGAAATAAAATTTCCCAAAGAACGTTGTGATTGCTATCTCAAATCCCCCATGCCCATGACAAACCTACCAGGAATTTCAGGCCTTGAGTACAAATATCTGGACCGTGGATTTGGGTATATATATGATAGGTCCCTTTTCCCACAGGTAGTGGACTGTGAGTGATAATGTGTCCATGTATAATTGTGTGTTGTGGATAGTTGCCCAATTGCAGGGTTGAATTGGACTAAGCTGACCCTCAATGTGAAAATGTGACCCATTCAGAAAAACCCCTAACCTGAGCCAATAATATTACATATTTCTGTAGATGAGCTCTAGTCTGTCTTCTTCTTTTACTGGATAAGCATCCATTATTTTAGTTCACTTTTAATATTCAGTACTGTAGCATGTTCTTCAGGAAGCTTGCATCAACACTGATAGCTCAATGTCAAGAAAATGTATGAAATTAATATAGTATAGCTGCATGTACATATTTATCACCAATGTTGGTTCACAGTCTTTCACTGCAGGTGAATGTGTTCTGTCATTTTATCATGGCAGGCAGTCACACAAGACTGTGTTTTTGCTCTGAGGGCCATAGGGCTGTTTGCCCCCCTTTTATTCCCAGCAACTCTTTTTCTCGCTTCTCTACTCTAACTCTCCCTGTATGCTGATGACAAAGAGGGTGCACAGTGGTATGTGACTCTGTAGGAAGCTTCTGAGCCATTTGTTGACTAGCTGCAGACATTGGACTACACTAGATTTGGAGGTAGTTAGAATTCCTTTTTATTCCAGCTCTGTGGCATTTAGGGGAGAAAGACTGAGCTCTCTACTCCCATGAACAGTATCCGAAAAACCCACAGGGGGTCTGTATGAGTTAGCATTGACTTGATGACAGGGAGTGGCATTTAGGTGTCTGGAGAATTTGAAGCCTAGATAAGAGGGTGTGTCTCACACCAGGTTTAGTTATTTAAATATCTACCAAGAGTCTGTCTCCCAGACGAGAATCATGAATTAGGTAGGAAGTTAGGCAGGTACGTGGGAACCAAAATAACAAAGGAAGTGAAGGAGAAACAACCTGTCTTATGGTTCTAAAATGGAAATTGAAAGAATTTTGAAAAGCATTAAAAATCCCTTCTCAGCAGGACAGTCAACTGAAAGTTTGACCTGTGCCCACCCTTACATAATCCTTACGAAGGGGAAGTATTGTATAAAGGAGATAGAAGTCCAGAGATGTTAAGTACCTTGCCTAAGGTTACCACCTCACATTGTCTGCTGTCCAGTAGCCTAAGACTCCTATTCTGGGGTTCTTAAGGTCTGAACATGGCCTTGCCAACAATTCAAAGAGCCTTTGAGAAAAATATGGCATAACAATTCTACTTTTCTTCCCAGCCCTGTGTAAAATATCACCAAGAGCTCAGGCTAATCTGCAATTGAGGACTGGTGCTAGCAGACACCAGTGAAGACTAAGTGGGTTGTTTTGATAGATGCCTTTAAAAATTCTGTGAGGTCATAACAGATCTCCCTCTGGCCTTCCTTGCCCCTCCCTAACATCTCCCTGCACCTTAACAATCCCCTCCCCATAGTTAGTAACACATCTGCAGTTTTTTCCCCCCTGCTCAGTGCTTTCCAGAGCTTAAGAAAGCTAGAAAAAAAGAACTCAGTGAAGGGATTGGGGGTGGCTGCCCATTATTTAGTGTACAATGTTTCGGCCTTGTAGCCTAAAGGAGGCTAGCTCAGCAACTCAAACATATGGAATGGATTACGATTTCCCCCACATTTCCCTACTGGTTCCTCTCTGGTTGCACTAAAGCTTGAGACCACAGACACTTCTGAAAAGAAACCCAGCTTGGATGCTTGCTCACCAGTATCTGTCTCTCACTTTGTCTCTCTTATCTCCTTCAGACTCAACTATGGTGATTCCTGACTAATGGAGTCATGAGTGCCAGGAAACCTGAAGTTGCTTTTCCAGAAGGTACCTGAGTTGTCCCCATAACAATGGAGACCCGAAAAGATGAAGCTGCTCAGAACAAGGGAGTGGCAGCCTTTAAGGACACCCAGGCCCAAGAGGCAGTGAAAGGAGTCAAGAACAAAGCAATTGAAGCAAAGGAGGGGCCAGTGTCAGAACCATCCTCATCTGGCCCAGGTAGGCTGAAGAAAACTGCTATGAAGCTCTTTGGTGGCAAGAAGGGCATCTGTACCCTGCCTAGTATTTTTGGAGGGGGTCGAAGCAAAGGTTGTGGAAAAAGCAGCTCCAGGAAGGGTCTTAGCAAGAGTAAAACCCATGATGGATTTAGTGAAGCAGTTTGTGACCTTGAGGATGCTGCCAGTGAGGGAATTGACTTCACAGCAACTTTACCTGACTCACCCTGCAAACTTCCTAGCTCCCAGAGTGCCCTGGGGACTTTGGAGACAGGCTTCAGATGTAAGATGTTTGTGGCTGGAATCACAGAGAAAGTTGAGGCTGAGAAGGTTTCCTCTGTGCTCAAACCAAAGAAAGGCCTGAAAGGCTTTTTCAGCAGTATCCGCCGTCACCGGAAAGGCAAGGTCACTGGAACTGAGCAAAGTGAGCCAGGGCTTAAGGTACCTGAAGGAGCCAAAGCCAGAACTCAGGAGGAGGTAAGCTCATCTCCTCTTTTCCACTCTGAGGAGGCCCTTCCAGCTTCAAGCAAGGAAACTATCAAATCTCAGGATGTCTCTAGGTCAGAAGTGTCATTAGCAACAGAGACTTCTCCACAAGTTACTGAAAACACATCTTGTAAAGGTCCAGAAAAACCTATGGAGCTCTGTGCTTCAGCATTACTACAGCTCAAGCCTATTCTTGATGCCAGTGGCCCTGAGGAATCCCATAGTTCCGAAATAGGGAACAAGGGAGAGGTGGGGGAGATAAATCAACCGAGTGGCCCTGCGGGAGATCAATTGAGCCTCTTATTTGGGGATGTCACATCCCTGAAAAGTTTTGACTCGTTGACAGGTTGTGGGGATATCATAGCTGAGCAAGACATGGACAGCATGACAGATAGCATGGCCTCTGGGGGCCAGAGGGCCAACCGAGATGGGACTAAGAGAAGTTCCTGCCTGGTGACTTACCAAGGAGGTGGGGAAGAGATGGCCTTGCCTGATGATGAGGATGAGGAGGAAGAAGAGGAAGAAGAACAGGTGGAATTAGAGGAGGAAGAAGAAGTAAAAGAGGGAGATGATGACTTAGAATATCTGTGGGCAAGTACACAGATGTACCCAATGCCCAACTTGAACATGGGCTACCATCCTACCACATCCCCAGGCCACCGCAGCTACATGCTCCTTGACACAGTTCAGTCCTATCCTGGCCTACCCCCTGGGGACATTTTGACTCCACAGAGTGACCAGCAAGAGTCTGCCCCTAATAGTGATGAAGGCTATTATGACTCCACCACGCCTGGATTTGAGGATGATTCAGGTGAGGCCCTGGGACTTGTCCACAAGGATTGCCTGCCCCGGGACAGCTATAGTGGAGATGCCCTTTATGAGTTCTATGAGCTAGATGACAGTCTTCAGAATTCTCCACCTGGAGATGACTTCCTCTATGACCTTCATGGTTGCAGCTCTGAAATGTTTAACCCATTCCTGGACTTTGAGCACTTATCTTCTTCTCGGCAGCCTGAGACCATGGAGACAGAGGAGGAACGCCTAGTGACCATCCAGAAACAGTTGTTATATTGGGAGCTTCAACGGGAGCATCTTGAGGCCCGAAAGGCTCATGCCAGGGTGGCCCACAACAGGGAAGCCTTTGCCCAAGAAGCTTGTATTTGGGAACCTCATGCCAGAGAGGCCAAAGCTCGAGAGGCCTATGCTAGGGAGACCCATGCCAGAGAAGTCCGTGCTCGAGAAGCTCATGCCAGGGAAACTTGTGCCCGAGAGTCTCATGCTGTAGAGGACCAAGCCCATGAGGCCCACACCCAGCAGGAGAAGACCCTCATGGAATATCGAATGAGACCTTTAGGCCCCTCAGTGATGGGCCTGGTGGCAGGGGCACCAGAGACCTCTCATACTTCCTACCATGGAACCACTTCAGCTTTCCCTGCCACTGCAAGTAGTGAACCAGACTGGAGGGACTTCCGTCCTCTAGAAAAGCGTTTTGAAGGAACTTGTTCCAAGAAAGATCAAAGTACCTGCTTGATGCAGCTCTTCCAGAGCGATGCCATGTTTGAGCCAGACATGCAAGAAGCCAATTTTGGAGGGTCCCCTAGGAGGGCCTACCCTACTTATTCACCCCCTGAGGAACCCGAGGAAGAAGAAGTTGAAAAGGAAGGGAATGCAACTGTGAGTTTCTCACAGGCCCTGGTAGAGTTCACCAGCAATGGGAACCTTTTCTCCAGCATATCTTATAGCTCTGATTCTAATTCATCCTTCACTCAAAACCTTCCCGAGCTTCCTCCCATGGTAACATTTGACATTGCTGATGTGGAACGGGATGGGGAAGGAGAGTGTGAAGAGAATCCTGAGTTCCACAATGATGAAGACCTTGCAGCCTCCTTGGAAGCCTTCACAATGGGCTACTACCACAAACACACCTTCAACAACTACCGCAGCCGATTCTACCAAGGCCTTCCCTGGGGTGTGAGCAGTCTGCCTCGATACTTGGGACTGCCTGGCATGCACCCTAGACCCCCACCTGCTGCCATAACTCTCAACAGGAGGAGCCGCTCCCTTGACACTGCAGAAACCCTAGAACTAGAGCTTTCTAATTCCCACGTGACCCTGGACTACATGGAGTCTGATGAACTTCAGGCCCAGCAAGAAGATTCAGATGAAGAAGAAGAAGAAGAAGATGAGTGTGGCCGAGACAGTCCCCTGTCCCTTTATACCGAGCCGCCAGGGGCTTATGACTGGCTTACCTGGGCCCCCTTTCCTCTACCAGTCGGGTCAGGCCCTGCCTCGATAAACCCCAGCCTGTTGGATGGGCTTTCCAACCAGTCTCCGTATGGGCAAACAGCCTGTTGTGTACCTCCTGTTTCTGCGTCAGTGTCTCTTCCAGTACCAGTGTCAGAACCAAGGGCACCCCAGGAATCTAGGGTTCAGCCAGCTCGGCCTTCACATCTACTCCTGCCCATGGGCCCTTGCTATAACTCCCAGTCACAAACCTTGCAGGATGTGAGAGTCAAACCTCGAGATCGCCTGCTGCCTGTGGATGAGCCCATTTGTTCTATTTCTGAAAGATTCAGCCCCATCTCTCTGCCCCAAGTCAAGCCCGTGAGCATCACTCATGGCATCCCTCAGCTGCCTAGGATCCTGTCTGAGTCCCCACAGCATAAGTTCAGTCACTATGGAGTTTCCACCATTGACCTGTCAAAGGAGAGATTAAGCAGGATAACTTCCTCGCCACCAACTACTCCACTGTCATAAATGGAAACCCAGCTGAACAGTCATTAATTCCAGAGTAGGGAAATAGGGTATGAGCATGTGAGGATCAGGAATAGGGCAGAGGGGTGGGAGGGTGGGGATTTTAGTTTAAATTGGAAATCCTTTTCACTGAGCAAAGCTCCTGTGAGTTTTTGCCTTTGTTTTCCCACTTCCCCCTTCTATCATCGGTGACCACTTTTGACTTGGGTCCATCTTCACAGAGAGGCTACACTCCTCATTTTGCTTTTGGGTTTCTTCTTGTGACCCATTCAGAATTTGAGATGCCGTAATTTTATACCTATTGCAGTTGCTGAGTTACTGATTATATATAGCCTGTATTCTTAATATAGGTGGAACCCTTAGCATCCATCTCCACTGTGACCCTCCCCAGTGTATAAAGGACCACTGATGAGCAGCTAGGTCTGCATGGGCACTGCCTCCCTTTCAGGAATGGGGGGCTTGCTTGCTCTTAGCAATGTGAAATATGGTACAGATTCTCCTTACGCTTACTCCCTTTGACCTTGGCAGAACTGCCACCAATTGCATCAGATACCTATAATCTATCTCAACTAGACGTCCTTGAGTAGGACAAAATAGCATGCGTCTCACCTCCTATTTCTTTGAACTTTGTTATCATTACCAGATGGAGTCATTTTAACCTGGCTTGCCATAGTTTTAGATTGAAAAGCCAATCTCTAATCCCTTTAGTGAAGTGATCAAATTCTTCCAGTTGCCCACAGAAGACAAATCAAGATTATATTAAAGACAATGCCATAGATTCTTGAGCCCTGGAATGATAAGATTTATTATGTTTTCTTCTATTAAGCTTGAGTTGCAGATGCTTCAGAATTCTTATCCTATTTTTCCTCTAAAGGAAATTTTCATGATCTCATTACAAAGAACATATTCTTTCTATTGAGGTACTGAAAGGAAAGTAGGAGTTGGGGTCTTTGAAAGGTATAGTTCCTGGATGGTGCAAAGGTTGGCAGTTTAAACACACTCTTGAAGGATCTGCTTCCAAAAGATCACAAACTTAAAACCTTATAGTGCAGTTTTACTCATGATTCCACAGCAACTAAAAACAGCAGCAAGAAGAATAAGAATAGAAAAAGGAGGCCCCTTTGTTCCATCAGTAGGAGAGGGGATTTCAGATTTTGCTGAGCTCATGGTAACCCTGCTTTTTAGAAGAGAACGCTGCTCCCCTCTTCCAAGCATAACATTTCTGCACTCTTGAGTATCCTGTTGTTTGGACACAATATAGAGGTTTCAGGATTGGCTAGCTGATGGATCCAGAAGCACTTCTGAGACATGGTAGCAAATGCATCCCACAACTGATGTCCCAGGCTCCCTAAGAGCTTTTACCTTCCAATTAGCCAAATCCTTAGAATCAAAAAAGGACAGCTCTTCTTGAGAAGAACTCTTTCCCTCTGCCAAGTTTCTGGACTCTGATTAACATGGAAGTTGCATATTACACTGGGTTGGAAATAACAGTGGGGAAGAGCTTGCTGTCAGGAAGACATTGTTGCAAGCTAATCTGGTCAGGTTTAACTTCATTAATCATCAAAATTAGAGGGCTCCTTTTAAATATGGCAAATGAAACACTTTGTGCTTGGATATATTGACTTTCAGGTCGGTACTGTGCTTGGATATATTGAACCAGCCCACAAACATTTTATGGCTGACAAGAGAATTTTTGACAGGTTCAAGAATTCTTGAGAGGACAAGAGTTAATGTCATTCTTGAGGTTTAGTAACTAAGCTTTGGAATAGCTGTTATTGGTCTCCTGGGTCAATGTAACTTCATGAATTAATTGCCCCTTGGCCAAATTGGTCTTTGTCACCATTTCTCAGATTGGTGAACCTGGTGGAAGAAATAACTCCTGGAAGTACCACATGAGTTTGCATGGCACCAACACTACCTCAATGGAATCAGATCAACTTTCCAGGCTAACTGTGACTGACACTCCAAAGAAGTGCATCAGTTGAACCAGAAAATTAAAGAAAGCGAGAAAGGCCCTCCTCACACCAAGCAAGTATTACAGGGGAAAGGTGCTCATATTCCAACCATCTGGCTTATCAAAGTTGCCTGGGAAAGTGGGGCTGAAATCAGTTTGACATTTGGCAGCAAGTAAACACTCACCAAATGCCTTTATCACGGGAAAATTCACCTCTTGCCTCCTCTGACTTTGCTTGTCCTTCCGGGCAGCTCAAGCTCCTGTCTGCCTATGGACTGTGCCAGTCACATCAGGCAGTGAGCCATCACCGTATTCCAGCACCCACTGAAGAAAGAAAAATGTAGGTGGCCAGCTTTTGGCCAAGAGCTGAGAGTTATCTTCACAGGTAGAAAGGCAATAAGGCACTGCCTCAGGGGGGCTGTCAGCCCTGACACACCACCTAACTGTGCTTTGGATGATCACACAACATATAGTAGGACCTGTCTGAGTTCGTGCTTTGTACAGCATGACTGCCCACAAGTCCATCTGACCATCCATGGACAAGGTCCTCACCTGTCAGGGTACGTGGCTGTTGAAGAAGACTCCTTCAAATTTCACTCTTGATCCAAGAACTTCATGGCCAAGCATCAACTACAGCCTAGAGGAGTAAGGAATACTTGGCTGAGGATACATGGTGATTAGGGCTCATGGAAATATTGGGAGAACATCCAAACTCCATTCTGCCCCCTAAACAAGCTAGCTTGGTTAATAGCAAATATGAAGGGGACTTCAAAAAGTTTGTCTAAAAATTCCATTATCTTTCAATTCCATTATATTTCAATTCCATTTTCCATAAATTTTTATATCCCGTAGATATTTAAAGGTGTTGGTGTCATGCCTATCACCTTCTATAAAAGGAAGAAACTGACCACATGAACACCATGTCTCCATTCCAGGGACTTGGGATAATAATTTTGAATGTGGCTTCAAGAGAAGATGTGACTGAGATGGCTAAACTAATTTTGCTATCTATCCAGCAGGATTATCTAGTAGCAGAGAACTCTGATCTTGCTAATTCCTAGATGAGACCAGTCCTTAGGGTAGGGGAAGGCGGGACCAGTGGATGTGGATAGAGAATGCTGCCTAGCAGACCGCTCACAGAGCTGGGATGCCAGTTTCTCTCGGTGCTTAGAGCTTTCCAGGAAGCTCTGTCCTTGTGTTCCATTTAGAGCCTGCTCTGCCCATCTGAACTTAGCTTGTATACCAGACCATAAGTCTCCTGGGGCAAAAGGTTCAATAAACACCAGTCTTCCTCAATGCACTACCTAGGAGGGAAGTGGATTTCTATACCCCTTGTCCTGCTGCCCGTGATTTTCTTACCTGTGCCAGTGCCACCATTCCACTTGTCCTTGACCCTTTGTTATACTTACTAAAGGGAAGCTTCAGAGATTTAAGAGAGACTTCAAGTTTACCCACATGTAGGTTGCATCCAAGTTGATATATATATCAATTACCTATTTTTGTATTGTTTGCATTTTATATTCATGAGAGATGTATCAATGATTCTTTTCTTATATTTTTTATTTTTAAGCAGTGCTGTTTACAGTCTTAAACAAAACAAAGTCAACACAAAAATCACTGCTGCTTGTATAGAGGGCTGACACCTCAATTACTCCTGGCTCCCCCTTTTTCCCTCCTCCCAACTCCCATTGTATGGAACTGTTGGTCCTGTCCTCCATGATAAAGACTGCAGAAGATGCCCAGGTATTACAGACAAATACCAGGTGACTCAGGTATGTGAAACCTGGTAGACAGCATGTTTTTATGGCTTTTTCCCCCTTTGGGGCCCTTTCTCCCCCAGTGTGTAGACTTTTGGAAGTACACATTTCTTCCCCCCCACCCCTCTTTATGCTTTGTGCTTTTCTTTTATGATTAGAGTGCCTAGATTGTGTTTTCTGTCTTTTCTTTCTCCAAAGGAGTCTTTTGAAGAAATTTCGCACACATAGGGAAAGCAAAAACAAACAGAACAGAACACCTCATTGCCATCAAGCCAGTTCTGACTAGCCTGTCAGAGTAAAACTGTTCCTGTGGGTTTCCAAGACTATCTTTGGGGGAGTAAAAGCCTCATCTTTCTCCCATAGAATGGCTGGTGGTTTCAAACGGCTGACTTTGTCGTTAGCAGTTCAATGCAGAACTCACTATGCCATGTGGGGGTGGGGGTGGGGGTGTTCAATAACATACCCCTCTAAGAAACTGAAGAAAACAATAGTGATGATGCTAAAACTATCAGGAATTGAGAAAACCCTTGCGTAGGACGTTCTGTGAGCTCAGTTGATTGTGACATACACTCAGAAGAAACTGGGGAAATCTTTGACCCCCTCTTGCCGCTTTGGGAAAAGCTCTCTAATCCTTCCTCCATTCCCTCTCCCTCACTTTAGCGCACATATGCATGGTACTTTGGGTATTATTTAGGGTGATGGCTTGCTCTCCTGATGCCCCTTTTTCCAACCTATACTCACTCCAAAGGAGAAGTCCATATGACAAGAGGGTTTGTCTGTTGAAAGGTGGGCCATTAATGATTATTTTTGTTACTATTGGTGCTTATTTTCCTGCTGTATATAGGGCAGGGCGAGTAAACAGGAATTTATATTTAGATTATGTTAAATAAAATGACTGGGGAAAGGAGGGAAGAAATATATCACAGTACATCCCAGCCCATGTGTAACCATTCCTTCTTTCTTAGTGCAGAAAGGCCAGTGGGGGCCCTGGCTCTTCCTGAGCATTCCCTTCCCACATATCATGGAATCACCTGAGTTGTGAACTCTCAACTCCTAACTCGCACCAACATGTGGATGCGCTGCCTGTTTGTAACAACATATTTTTCTTTTGCTGAATGCTAATAAACTTTGGGTTCAAGAGGGATTCTCATCCCAGACTAGAGTATTGTGTGGTTTGTGTTATGCCTGTTACTTGTAGTGGTTAGATTCGCCCTTAAAGAGATGTTGAGTAATTAAGAAGGGAGATGGTTGGCATGGGTGGACAGGATTGTGGGGCACCCACAGGGGAAATAGGAGCCAGAACTGAAACAGAAGTTAGTGGAAATTTCAATTATCCATGAAAAACATATCCTGCAATAGTCTGTG